CCGGGGGAAATATTTTCCATTATTTTGCCTTCATCTTCCATGAATATCCAATTAATTTAGTCAATCTCTTCCTTTTCTTTCTTTCTTTGTTTTTGAGACAGTGTCTCCCTATGGAATCCCTGGCTGGGCATTCAAGAGACCTGGGGTAAAAGGTGTTTGTCACACACTCTCCCCTTCATCCTACTGTCCTGGCCCCACGGTACAGATCAGGCCTAGATACTTGGCAGCTGCACTGACCAGCTGACATCCCTGCCCTCTTATCTTGCCCATCCCATGTTGTGTTGCTGCCTGAATTATCACTGAAAACAAAGCAAAACAAAACAAACAAAACCCAATTAAATCATTCTTTTTAGAAGCCTTGGTGGTCCTGATTTTCTTCTGAATGTTTAGTATTTAATGTTGGGTCCAAAGGAAGCTGATTCCTCAAAGTCATGAATCTAGACGTGAGCCCCACCTGGACTATAGGAGATTCCTGGTAGCCAGGAATCCAGGAATCCTCCCAGAAGCCAGCATTCCTCAGAAACTAGTGAAACCGGTTTTCATCTGCCAAAAGGAGTCAGAAGGGGCAGTGGTGCCTATTAGCATACCAGAGCCCGTGCTGATCCGACCCTCAGTGTTACAAGTACCTGTCACCTAGCATCTCAATCCTTACCTCCTCCCCTACTCTAAACTCCCTCCAGCTCACTTCCCTCCCCCCAGCTACTCTTTCGCTGGCAACTCAACTATTCCCATTCTGCTCTGCCTAGGTTTTCTCAGTTCTCTGGTTCCTGCTCTCCCTCCCCTCTCCCCAGTCCTGGCCTAGTCTGCTGTCCATGTTCAGTCTACTTTCTCACTCTACTCTGGACTCTTCCAGATGCCTCTGGCTGTTTCTCTCTCTCTCTCTCTCTCTCTCTCTCTCTCTCTCTCTCTCTCTCTCTCTCTCCCTCTCTCTCTCTCATATCTACACTAAAAAACAAAACATGGGGCTGGAGAGATGGCTTAGAGGTTAAGAACATTGCCTGCTCTTCCAAAGATCCTGAGTTCAATTCTCAGCAACCACATGGCGTAATGGCGTCTGGTGCCCTCTTCTGGCCTGCAGGCATACACACAGACAGAATATTGTATACATAATAAATAAATATTTAAAACAAAACAAAACAAACTAACAACAAAAAAAATCTTTTAACCACGCCATGGAGCGGCCACACAGACAGTTTCTTTACTGCACCCCCCCTCTAATACATCTGGTGCCCAAACCGTCACATCCATTAACAGTGAAACTACCCTAAAAAGACAAAAGGAAAGAATTGGACTCTTTTCCTAAAAATATCTCATAAGAACTTCCTAGTAGAAATATGCTTCTATGTACAGAAATGCTCTTCGAATCTTTTCTTACAGATTTATTTTGGCTCATGTGTTCAAGTGTTTTGCCTGTATATATGTGTGTCTACTACATGTGTGCCTGGTGTCTTCAGAGGTTCGTCCGAAGAAGGGATGGAACTGGATGATTGTGAGTCACCAGGCGGGTGTTGGGAAACACACCATGAGCAATATTATTACCAAAGTTTCTGTGACAAACAATTTGCCCCACTCGCCAGTAACACCAAACACGGGCGCGTGGCTTGCTGGGACAGGTGAAATGTGAGTGGAGCTGATGTTTGCCACTCAGAAGAGGCTCTTTCCTGAGGGAGGCACCTTGAATTGGTAAGAAACATGGACTCCACGCTGGTGGCTTTTTGAAGTGGCGTCATCGAAAGAGGTTTTGTTTAGTTTGGCCTGGCTGTTCAGTGGCCTCAGGGAAACAGTTCCTTTAAAAAACACAACCTTTTAAAGACTTTTAAAATTTGTGTGTATCCCTGCATGTATTTATGCATGCTACATCTATACCAGGTGCCTAAGGAGGTCAGAAGAGGGAGTCAGATCCCTGACTGTGAACCGCCCTGTGGATGCTGGGAATTGAACCCAGGTCACCTGCAAGCGTCACAGACGCTTTTAGCCAATGGGCCCTCTCTCCAGTACTTCCTTTATGACATTCTGGCCTGGTTCTGCACATGCAGAAACTTTATCTTCTCAGTAAGATTGACACCGTAAGATTGATTTGACAAATGGGGAGAATGGGTCTTGCTGACGTCGTTCACAAGTTAACAGCGATACTTACGATCATCACTTCAATTTAGAAGACACCAGTCTCCTTCTCATTGGTCACAGTTTACTTTCCAGTTCCTATTGGGTGTTTGGTTCAATCCTAAGAAAAGCTGCTCCGCCGACGCAAAGAACTCCAATCAAACCAGATTAGACCGAATTAAAATGCCTGTGGGTGGACCGAGACAGCTTGGTGGGGGAGAGGATCCTGAAACCACGTGTTCCTTTTCCTCGCGCGAGCCTAAATAGCCTGTGGGACTGGTTCTGATCCTCCCCGGGGAATGGGTCAGCGCTTGGCAGACTGGGAGTTGCAGTCCGAACCAACTCAACTCCCAGCCCAGGGCCTGGGGTGATCCCTCCAATCATTCATCCCAGACTCCTTGGATATAGGGGTGTTAGAGGGCTGGGGTCTCACTTTCAATCAGGCATTGGGTAGAGAGGATATATATATTTTTTCTCCAACAAGATCTCAGAAACTCATGATAAAAATCTCTGAGGAAATACAGCTCAGATCCTAGAGCTGGGACACCAGGCGCGATTAATGTAAATCGCTTGACTGTGCCTATCAAAGGCGGCAATCTTCTTTTGCGCAGGGCCGGATTCATTCCCCATTCCCCTCAGAGCCGGCCCCCCTTTCTCCTGTGCTCTGCCGTCTCCCCCTCGCTGATGTTCTTCTTCCCCTGTGTACAGCAAGACTCTGTTAGCAATCAGATAGTTATTTCTTCGTTTTGCTCCTGACAGATCTTCCAGTTCTCAGTTTAAAGCCGCAGTAGGAAGTGGACATTTGTGTTGTGGGGATATTTGAAGGCACAGTGAAACTCCAGGACTATGTTAACAAAATTAACCTTGGATCAAGGGGTGGAGTTAACGACTAGTTGACAAGAATTAGCGGTAGAGATTAAGAAGGACCTGGGAAGGTAGAGAAGGGAGGGACTTAGAGGTTGGAAGCTTTCTCTTCAGGATCACCATACTGCAAATAATGACATGGAGACCTCTCATTGAAAAGTTTCTGCATCACAATAAGCTTCTCCTCCGACACAATATGTTGAAATATGGAGCGGTGGGGCTGCGTCCCCAACATCCCGGCCGCTTGGCTAGCTCACGCCCGAAATAACAACACAAAAACTGTATTCATTTAAGAACTGCTTGGCCCATGAACTCTAGCCCTTACAGGCTAATTCTCGCACCTGGACTAGCCCATTTCTAATGATGTGTGTGAGCACCCCAAGGTGCGCTTACCGGGAAGATTCTAGCCTAAGTCCATCGTGGGTTGCAGCTGCCTGGGAGAGCAGAGCATGGCGGCTGTCCGGTCCCTGTGGAAGCAGCGCAGAGTCTGACCTCACTTCCTCTTCCTCCCAGAATTCTATTCTGTTTCCTCCTCCCATCTATCTTTTAACCTATCTGGGCCAAGGAGTTCCTTTATTGCTTAACCAATGAAATCAACAGATTGATATATAACACTCCCACATCAACAATAGTACAAAATAGACCAAATCAAACCGAATTAGAAAAAGAGCCAGAGCCGGGCAGTGGTGGCGCACGCCTTTAATCCCAGCACTCGGGAGGCAGAGGCAGGCGGATCTCTGTGAGTTCGAAGCCAGCCTGGTCTACAAGAGCTAGTTCCAGGACAGGCACCAAAGCTACAGAGAAACCCTGTCTCAAAAAACCAAAAAAAAAAAAAAAAAAAAAAAAAAAAAAAAAAAAAAAAAAAAAAAAGAAAGAAAAAGAAAAAGACCCAGGTTTAATAGGTACAAGTGCTCCCGGATGACTTTCCACACCCACAGAGAGACAGGAAAGGAAGACTGGAAAACCATGTGTTTTCTCTTAGTAATTATGGAGGCTTGGCCATTAGCTTTGGCTTGTCCCACTAGCTCTGATAACTTGAATTAACCTGCCTTTATTAACCTACATTCTACCACATGGCTTGGTTACTTCTGCTCTGTACCATATGTCTGACCTCTGTAGTGTCCCCCTGTCGTGTCCTCTGGACCTAAATTCTTCTTCCCCCTCCGTTCTTCTCTTCCCCCGGAAGTTCTGCCTGTCTATCCTGCATAGTTATTGGTCATTTAGCTCTTTATTAAACCTATCAGGAGGCTCCTTAGGCAGAGATGCATCTTTACAGTGTAAACAAATATTCTGAAACACTTAGAGATTTGTGGGCTCTTTTTGGTTTGGGACAATGTGGAGAAACACTCTCCTGCGGCATCTCTGGCTGCAAAGGAAGGTCAGCTGGTGGCTTCTCGGCATCTCTGATCTAGCAGAGAATATTCACCCCAATATTTGACTCCTGAGGCTTTATTGGTAAACAGAGCAACTTAGATTGAAAGCATGTAGCCAGACAGATCCAGGTCCAAATCTAGGCTTTCCTACTTACAAACTGTGTGTTTCTTAGCTGATTTCAATTTTGTTATTTGAACTATGAAAAAAAAAAGATATCCATATTTACCTTTTAGGGCTATTAGGAGAAAAAATAGGTCATTCTAACCTAGTTAACACACATGTACACAAAGAAGGATTCTATTTCTATTCCTATCAAACTATAATTATGTTTAATAGACCCTGATAGTGGGCTAGGTACTTGTGTGCCGTTACAAGTCTCCCTTCTGGTGTTCTCATAAATCTTAGTTTTGTGTTGACGCTAGAGACTTTCTGAGACCCAGGAAGCTTTATTTCTTAGCCTCCTCCACCTGTAATTACAAGGCCTCTTCTTATCCACGCGGCTGGATATCTTCTGAAGCATTCTTTGAATGAGCTCCGAGCTCCCGTTAAGGGCTTAGGAAGGCTTGAGTGTGTATCAGGTGGAAGGTTAACCTGTAGCTCCACAGGACCATCCTTAAGCTTCCCACCGATGGTTCTTTTTTTCTTTTTTTTTTTTTTTTCGAAGTAGCACAAACATTTTTATTTACTAACCAAAAGGAAGATCCCACTTTGACAACACTTTGACATTCACTCCTGTCCGGGGCGGAGAGGCAATCCTCACTTCACCTTTTCATAGACCCGAGTACAGGTGACGTTATTCATCACGCAGTCCACCACCAGCTTTCCACCCTTCACTCTCCTGGTTATTGTGCTTTCCTTCCCGTCCCAGTTCTGTTGCTGGACCAGGGCATCGTCGGTGAAGGTGCAGATCGTCTGAGTTTTTCTGCCATCGGCTGTAGTTTCATCAAACTTCTCTCCCAGCGTACAAGAAAACTGTGTCGTCTTAAAAGTGCTCTCGGTTTTAACAGTGATATTGTTGCCGTTACACGTGATGACACAGTCTGGTTTGGCCATGGCACCCATCTTCCTAAGAGCCAGGCCTACTCCTAGCTCCTTCATGTATTCCTCAAAGCCGTGGCTTTCCGTCAGGCGCCACCTCCCCTCGAGGTCCTTAATGCTGGCCATGGCGGGCGGGGAAGCACGAAAGCAGCAGCAGGGAGAACGCGGTGGCGGGGCGCTGTGCGGCTCCGGGCTCCAGCCCAACGGCGGTTCTTGAAGACGGTTTACATCTCTTTCTGTCCATCTAGCTGAGGTCTCTACCCAGAACCACCTTTGGCCACACCCACTAGGCCTACGTAGCCCACCTCTGGCCCCGCCCCCGCCCCGCCCACTAGGACTACGTAGCCCAGCTCTGGTCTCGCCCACACCCGCTACGACTCAGATGGGCTTCCTTCACTTCAGCTTTGTTTAGGCTCCTCCTCTCTCAGACAAAAATCCTTCCCTTGCTTCCTTTCACATAAATCTTACACTTCCTTTAAGTCACAATTATGGGCTTTGTCTCATAAGATTTTCCAAGATTAAGCAAATCACAAACTTATAAAACTGTCTCCCTAATTTATTGTACTGTTTGTCTCTAAGCCTAAGTCCGCCCAAGGGAAACGGCCGGATTTTATGTGCTGAAGCAAATCGTGGTTGGAATGATCAGTAGGCCAGAGAAATGACGGTCACCAAAAACCTCCCTGGACACCAAAAGGGTTCATCTTGGTCTGTGGAAAACACCAGGGCTTAATTGAGAAGGACTCTACGTAGGGTTAATTTTGCTTTATAAATTGTACATTTGGGTATTTTTAAATGCTTTTTATTTATTCTTTGAGAATTTCATACAAGAAATGTCATATTTTGATCATCATAATCTTTCCCCTTCCCCAACTCTTCCCTTCCCCTATGAACCTTTCTACCCATTCAACTTCCTGTTCTTTCTCTTTCTTAAAAACAAACAACAACAAAAATCCATGGAGTCCCAATTTAAGCTGACCAGCCACTCCTGAGCATGGGGCCTACACTGCGTGCAGTGTTTGAAATGCCCAGGGGTTTTCCACTGAAGAAAACAAACTTCCTTCATTCCCCCCCCCCGCCCCCCCAGAAGGGATTGGCAATTTGTAGATAATATCAATTGATAAATTGCAGATGGCTTCTTGGATGCAAGTGGATTTGGGGCTAGATTCTCCTCATCCGTGTTGGGATTTTTTTTTTCCTAGCGAGCTTATACACGCTGTCACCATCTCTGTGAGCTCCCATCTGTATCTGTCCTGCTGTGTCGGAAGATGCTCTTTCCTTGACGTCAGCATTACCACCGGCTCTTAGAATCTTTTGGGCTATTCTTCTGCATAAGCCCTGAGCCTAGAGGGGGTCTGATAGAGACATCCTGTTTAGGGCTGAGTTCTCCAAAGCCTCTCGCCTTCTCTTGTACAGCTGAGAGCCTCTGTGTTAATCACTGTGTCCTGCAAGAAGCTTCTCTGATGAGGGGTTGAGCCACGTACCAACCTGGGGTTCCAGTTGGAACTATATTTCCGTTTTTTAAAGCCAACCTTCTCAAAAAGAGTCTAGCAGAAAGCTGAAGCTCAGCAATTAAGAACACTTGCTCCTCTTCCAGAAGTCTGAGACTCAGTTCCCAGCTCACACGTGGTGGCTCACAACCATCTATAACGGGATCTGATGCCCTCTTCTGGCCTGCAGGCATACAGGCAGACAGAGCACTCATACATGAGAGAGAGAGAGAGAGAGAGAGAGAGAGAGAGAGAGAGAGAGAGANAGAGAGAGAGAGAGAGAGAGAGAGAGAGAGAGAGAGAGAGAGAGAGAGAGAGAGAGAGAGAGAGAGAGAGGGGTAAAGTTCGGTATCACAGATCACAGCCCTACATACTTGAGCACATGGGAAATTGTCAGTGAGCTTCTATAAGAGACGGAAAGAAAACAAAATTGTTGTGGAGGGGAATCTTCCTGGAGCCTACTGTGGACAAAACCAGTGGCCCAAACAGAATCGTCACACTTACTTGTCTCTGCGCTAGTACATCACAAAGGGGGCAGACACACTAAGGAGAGGCCTGAGTGTTTCCTCCGGACTCCTGGTCCAGAGTCTGCAGGTGGGCCCAGAAGCTCCAGCTTTGTGGCATGCATGAAGGGGTAGGGAATTTACGTGGTTTTGCTACTCTGTTTCAGTATAGCAAACTGCGAGACACTGATCCTGGGACTCTGAACAGCTAAGGTGTGTGTGTTTTCTATGGAAATTACAAAAACATTTGGCTTTTCCCGTGGGAGCATTTCCGCTGGGCTAAGCCTGGTCTGGCTCCAGAGTGCTAGCACCTCGCCCTAATTTGTCTTTTGTTCAGCAGATACCTTTTGTTTCTCTTGTGCCCTAACGTGAATCTTGTGAGCCTTTCCTGAAGGTGCAAACTCTTGGTTAAAAAACAAGCCAGAAAGGGGCTGGAGAGATGGCTCAGAGGTTAAGAGCATTGCCTGCTCTACCAAAGGTCCTGAGTTCAATTCCCAGCAACCACATGGTGGCTCACAACCATCTGTAATGAGGTCTGGTGGCCTCTTCCAGCCTGCAGGCATAGACACAGACAGAATATTGTATACATAATAAATAAATATTTTTAAAAAAACAAGCCAGAAAACTGTGCTTTTTTTTTTTTTAAATCGAGAATTTGCACTTACCATTGTCCCTTTGGAAGCTTCCTCAGGATGTTCTAGGGATATAAAAATCGACTTACTTAAGTATAAACATGGAAAACAATAAAAATGCCCTGGGTTAAGGGAAAGCAGTTCAGTCCTTAGGGACAGATCTACCCTACAGCCCAGAACAGCTAAATTCATTCTTAAGGTGCCTCTGAGTTTTCTTTCCACGATCCCATGTGAACCCTCACCCATGCCACAACATTTTCCTGTGAAAATCAAAGGCATAATGTATCTAGAAATTTCTGTAACCTGTTTTGATAGGGAGCCCGAGTGATTTAATCTGTATAAACTTCTGCATGAGCAAGATTAAGAAGAGGCCGTGAGACTGGGTGTGGCGGTGTGTCCCTTCAATCAAGGCGTCCACAAGGCAGAGCTATGTAGGAGCTCCAGGATAGTCAAGGCTTACATAGGAGACACTGTGTGTGTGTGTGTGTGTGTGTGTGTGTGTGTGTGTGTGTGAGAGAGAGAGAGAGAGAGAGAGAGAGGGGGGGGAGGATGGAAGGGAAAGAGGGAGGACACAGAAGGACTTAAATACTTCAGTGGGTTATTTTCTAGTTTTTATATTTCAAAGTTGCAAACAGAACAAAAGACTATTTAAAAACTGAGACTCAGAAGGTCAGGCAAGCAAGGCAGTGCCAACCTTTTAAACTATTTGTTTTGATGAGTGTTCTTTATGTAGCTGGTTGTCCTGAAACTCTACCTGTAGACCAGGCTGGCCTCACAGTAACAGAGATCTGCGTCCTCAGTGAACTAAAGGCCACCACACTTTTCTTTGTTTTACTTTTGCTTTGTAGCAGATTAAAAGGCAAATTATTGCTAGTAATATTTGACTATCAAAAATGAAGTAATCTTTTTCAAGCAGTGGGTGGCCTTTGCTGCAAAGCGCTTGTCAGTTGTCCTGGTCTGTGCTGTCATTTGGCCTCAGTGGCACTAACCACATAGGGTTTCCAGGCCTTCAGTAACCGGCAAGTTGGGAGGGGATGGGGCCGAACCTGTTTCTAGAACTTGCCTTTACTGTCTCCTTTGGCCTGACGGGAGGCCTTCTCATTCTATTTCGCTTCTCTTGTGAACTCTATCCCAGTATTGTCCAAATAACCTTTCTTAGGATGCCCTGAGCATTCATTCACAGAAGAAACCAATAACCTGGCTTTTGCGTGTAAAGTTTTACAAAACATCAGTTTGTTTCGAGACAGGGTTTCAAGGTTATTTCCTGGAATCTATTAAGTAGACCAGGCTGGCCTTGAGTTTATAAAGATCCACCCACCTCTGTCTTCCAAGTGCTGGGGTGGGGTTAGAGCTGTGTGCTGTCCTGCCCGGCCTTGGCGTTTTGTTTTCAGACGACTGCTCTCTGGCCCCACTGAGTCAGCCTTTACAAACCTTAGCTTTCCTGTTCCCCCTGGAGAAGGCGCCTACGTCACAGAGACACGCAATTAAATGTCTTTAAGAGTGGGCGTGGCGAATGTCCACAGGCGCCTAAGAAAGTTACCTGGACGATACTGGGGTTAGAGTTCATGAGCAAAGCGAATGGAATGAGATGGTCTCCCTTCAGGCCAAAGGAAAAGTGAGCACCGTCAACCACCTTAAACTGCAGCCTTCTGAGACTGTCCCGCTTCTCTGGAACCCTAGATCCAGGGGTTCTTTCCAAACACACGTCTAGAGCCCCCCAGTTCCAAGCAGATCCATTATCCAGGAATTGATCCAAAGAAAGTGGGTAGCTCCAACATCTCTGGCTTAATCTTGGCATGCCCACATGGATGATTTTGTGTGTGTGTGTGTGTGTGTGTGTGTGTGTGTGTGTGTGTGTGTCAAATGAGCCCATGAACTTAGAAATGAAGGAAATAAGGTTCTTCAAAACGTTATACCATAACATTAGACCAGGAATCTATGATTCTCAGTGGCTCCGGAACAGATAAAAACACTAATAAACACAAAGGGCAACATCCCTTGTCTCCATAATCTGTCGCCATAAAGTGGGTGTTTGTGCACAGAGAGGGTTGCGAGCCAGTCTGAAAGGCTAGTGGCAGGTCCTCTGTAGAATGTCGCCTGACAGAGAGGCTCACCATGTGCACAAGCAAAGAAAGCAGGCAACGCAAGTCATGTGCTATTAAACATGAGAATGATCAATGTCTTTACTTTTTGGGAATCCACGCCTGTTAAGAAACACACTGTGATGCAGCCTCCCAAATGCACAGGAGCTCTGGGCCCGTGTGCCAATTCTCTTTCCAATCGTAATGACAAATTGGAATTCAGATGAATATAACTCAATATCGTCTCATCTTCCTCCAGTTGCATCAAATCTGGAACACATCTAGTTTCTTTGTTTTCAAAAGACTGCGGGCTGCTCTGGGAGTTTACTTATTGCTCAGCCGTTCAATCTCAACGTCCCCGGAAGCTTCTTACGGCCCGATTGGGCTCTGTTTGTTTGTTTTTTTGGTTTTTTTCGAGACAGGCCGATTGGGCTCTGGAATACAGTATTGAGCCGAATAGATTGATCCTGAGCCCCAGCGAGCATTCCAGCAGAGAAGTATAAGAAAATGTG